CTAACGTGCGGAACGTTTGGCCGGCAAATGCGAGCTGGCCACGTCGACTCGCCGTTTCGACGTTCCAACGTGGCTTATCTTAAAAATCGCGCACACGTCGATTCTTCGGGCTGCGCGCGGTTGCGAATATTCTACGGGATTTACAGCTGAACCGCAGCCGTTCTATGCTGCTGAAAGTTTCGCCCGCAGCCAGGCACCAGAGACTGACTTAATATTAATCCGAAACTTATCGCATCCGCGACGCGCGCTCGCGTGTTAATTACCAGTTGTTTCATTCGATTCGGAGTTGCGCTTCTCTTGGGTGATTAATTGCGACAGTTGCGGCGGGAGTTTAGGTGGATTGGAAATTGTGTGGCTTGGCACTGTAATACCTTGTGTAATCAGTTTTTGTATCGGCGTATCGAAGTTCGTATTTAATACACAAATATCGTACGATACTATAATATTAGAATTATTTTATATGGATGCATTACGGTTTGATTTATTCTTATATAACGTCAGGCAATTCTCCGTTTGATGAAAGTCTCATTATGTGTTTCCTACACACGGCGTATTAATAATACCAGAGACGCGAGGAATGCAAAATATTCCAAACTCTGCAGTCGTCACAAGCACGAACGAGAATCAAAATCTCGACTGCTCAACGTGGATTCTTATAATATCACATCAGGTAATTCTCCGTTTGACGAGAGTCTCATTATGAAAATCTGTTTCCTACACATGGCGTATTAATAATACCAGAGGCGCGAGGAATGCAAAATATTCCAAACTCTGCAGTCGTTACCAGCACGATTGAGAATCAAAATCTCGACTGCTCAACGTAGATTGTTGTTCCCATGAAACACGGGGTAAAATATGCGAGTGAAGCTCGTGAAGAGGATGTAATGCGACGAGGCGGACCCGTAATTCCAGGTACGCGTCGCATCAAGGGAGCCGGAATGCAGCAGTATCTCTTTCTCGAAAAATATTTCCGGATATCAACGGAGGCGTCTAAATTTCCGCGGAAAATAAGGGTGGCGTTCGCGCGGACTCGTGGAAGCTGCAATTCCCTCGACAGGATAACGGCGACCCGGTCTTCGTGGACTCGCTGTCATGTTCTCATCACGTACGAGGTCATTCGACATAAATTTTAACAGGGTCCACGTAATCGAGTTCGCCGCCGGCGCGATACAGTATTTAAAAAGCAGCGAACGCCCGCCTGCTCCGAAAGAAACGTCGCTCGTCGTCAATCCATTTTTCTGCCTCCCTGCGACGCCGCCCCGCCGCCCCCTGTTTCAAACAGAAGAAATTGAATTTTCGTGGAGCGAGCGACGCGACTGATATTAACGCGTCCGCCGGCAGCGTCGGACAACAATCCGCATTTTGTTTAACACGTTAAACGCCGCGTTAGTCACCGGTGACTAACGATAAATAAATATTTATGTACAGATCGCGATGAGATACGGAATACGCGCGGAGACTCGTGTACGGGTAGCCTTATCGCGACAGAACACATAAATATTGCAAAAAGACACTTATCGCAACCGAAACGTAAAGGCTAAATGGGCTTAGCGTTTAACACGTTAGAAAAAGTAAATTACTTTCATGTGTTGCCTTCGGGCGAAGCTTTAACGCGCGGTGCAATATGCAGGTGAACAAGATTTTTTTCTTAATTCTTTCAAGCTGGTTTTCTCATTCACGGATTTCGGAATGAAGATAGGATAGTGATTTTGAAACGTTCTGATTTCGAAAATGTTACACTAATGAATTTAGAATGGAATGATAATTGAATTTTATATTTTACAATGGAGTCGCTCGAAAGCTCGGTTAAGTCCATGCTTCGATTATTGTAAATTCTAATGGAATGAATAATATTTTCGTTGCTATTCAAGAATTCACTCGTTTTTTCATTTTTCTAGGTCAGACCTTATAGCTTCTAAATATATTTAATAATCATTTCAGAAACCAAAACATTAATTTTCTCGATTTCCTGCACTCAACTATGGTACATTACTTTTACAAAGATTGTCCCATGAAAATGTCTCAACATTGAAGTTAGCAATGCAAAGAGTTGTCTTCCACTTATATTCTACCAAAGACGCTGTTAATAAAGTACTTATCTTAATGATGAAGATCACTACACAGGCGAACAGTAAAAGGGAAAACGTTGAAGCGCCGCGTCGCAGCAATTTGTCCGCGGGCCGTCAATGACGGGGAGAATCATGTTTACCGTCGACGCGACGCGGGTATAGCGACTTTTTATGAAGAGGAAAAATTTGCTTCCGTACTTTCCCTCGTTTCGCACTCGGTCCCTCATCGTGCCGCGCTTTAGCGAGCGAGTTAACGGTCGCCGCGTCGAAAATTACACGCCGCGAGTCACCGTGAAAATTGTTTCGAATCGCCGGGTTTCCGTGAAATTTTCCGGCGAGAATAAGCCCGATTCATTCGGGCCGATCCTGTAAACGAACTTTCCACGTGCCGACCGTGTCCGCCGGAGGTTTTTGTTCCCGCGAAAACAATATCCCATCGGCAGCGAACCCGCCGGATCTCGTTTTATTAATATCCTTTCAATTTCAGCTTGACAGAACTCCGCGCATGGATCCCGAATCACTCCGCAAATCGGGAAATATTGTTGGATTCCTTTTTCCCCGCCCACGCGCGCGGAACAGAGAAATTATCGTCGACGGGAGCGGCTGATAGATGAAATTTTTCTATTCCCGGATCCCTGTGGGAACGCGACTTTTGACGTGGAGCCCCTCGTGGGCGAGTTTTCCAAACAAGCAAGCAGACGAACATTTTCTCCCGGCTGTTTGCCGTGCGGAAAAAATTCCTGAAAATTACCGGCCACCGCCTTCGCGTCGGATGCACGGAAATCGCGATACGCGCGCGGCGTTGCGCGAGAAAATAGTTCGATGGGAATATTCGCGGACCGTGTTTATCGCGCGAACGCGTGCAAGTGAACGTAAATAGAAATAAATTGGCCCGAATGACGCTTGTTACTTTTTCCGAGAAATAACGCTTCTGCACGTTATAACGCCGTCTTCGGAAAATAACGTTTCAATGAGCATGCAAGATAAATATCGCTTCTGCGCGAGAGCTTATGCTTCGAGGATCCGAAACTTGATAAAGGGACGCTGCAGAATTTTACAATTTTCAACCGGGAAGACCCTCGCGACTTCTCACGAGAAATACGAGAAGAACTATCGTGCCAAAGTATTAGAGTAACTTCCGCGTGGTTTAGTCAGTTAAATCGCTGGATCCGCCGCGTCTTCTTCGAAATTTTGAAGACATGTTGTTCGGGGCGGACCGTAAATAGAAAAACTTCCGCATTCTCATTTCGTTCTTCCAGCTCAGCTGGCCGTGAACGAAATAAATGAATTCTGCGTTCGTACTTTCGCCCGTGCCCCTAATCATCCCTTTTGAATTATTATATAAATTACATAATGCCGAAATAAACAGCTTGGAATTTTGCACTTGTTTCCTGTTGCACACTCTCGGAACCCAGGTGGAAAGATGGCGTAAAATCTAGTAAAATCTAATAAACCGAGCAAACTCTCGTAACTTAGGTGGAAAAATGGCGTAAAATCTAGTAAAATCTAATGAAATATAAAATCTTATGAACCTAAAGATAGTAGTTAAAGTTTCGAGCTTCGAAATTATTCTAAATTATTGAACGATCGATAACCTAACTGATATCGTTGCGTCATCAAATTATATTCTATAAAGTCATATCCGACGAACAGGATGTTTACGAAGTAAAGGGTTGGGGGTTGTTTTTCGCAGATGGCCGGCATTCTGAACACGACGTCGTTCCCAAACATGGAGGTGAACGACGAGGATCACAGTTATGTGCCGTACGACCAGCGACCGGAAACGTACATCGTGCCCGTGGTATTCTTGATAATCCTGGTGGTCGGCGTGACCGGAAACGGGATCCTGGTGCTCACCCTGCTGCGCCACGCCAACATGAGAAACGTGCCGAACACTTACGTCCTCTCGCTTGCCCTGGGCGATCTTCTGGTAAAGAAACTTCCAACCACCTAACACCGGAAAATTTCATTCTTCGCTAATCAAAACCACTTGAAATTCTCGGGAATATATTCTCTTATTTCTCTGACCTTTCCATTAACACGAAGTTCACCAGCTGGATTATTTTCACCCATTCCAACCTTCGCGAGGAAAACTACAGAAACTACAGAAAAGTTTTCATTTCTTTCACTCGTACTAATCCATATATTTCATATTTTCATTTAGAACATTGCACACAATTATGTCTTTTCGTACAAATTTGTACGAGCGTATTATAAAGGATATATATTGAAATATATCTGGAAATGTCGAAGAAAATCGGGAATAAGCTTTTTCGAAGTTTGGAAAGTACGTCGCCGGTTTCGATGTAAACCCGTACAAGTGGGATTTAATACAGACCCGCCGGTGGAAGGATTTTCGTATTAAAAATCCGATATGCGTGATTATCAGAAATATTCTCTAATAGAGACGTTTCCCGCTGAAGATTTAACGATTCGAACGCGTGGCCTGCGCTGCGCACGGTTTGTAAGTGGTTGCACAAGGCTCAGACAGCCCGGTCTAGCGGATAAATCTGTCGGAAGCGTGCGGAGCAGCGGCGCGCCGCGGCGCGCTGTAGGTTTTTGCCGCGGATGTGTACCTGGCCGCGGAAAATGGAGAATCCACCGGAACGAGCCTGAGCACGGAGGGAAAAACGATATTGAGAGCGGTTATTAATGCGCGCGTCGCATTCTATTCGATAACACGGTAGACGCGCCGCCTGATCGGCGCGCAATTTATATCCGACTGGAAAATATCGAAGATTAATGGTGACCCGCGTCGCGCCACCTTTGACCGTAGAGAAAAATCGCGTGTTCCCCTCTCGCGTGATCTAACAAACGGTTTATTAATACCTTCCTCGAATCACGGCTGATTTTGCGCCACGATTATTACATCCGGCGATATAAAGCGACGGATTTCTTGCCCGAGCAAATATTTATATTCAGCTGAAAATCAATAGTCCTCTTTAAATGAATCTTTTCGAAGCTGGCAGAAACGTATACTAACAAACGATATGTACGTGAATCGTCGGACTTTCCAGAGAGAATGAAAAATGACTTTTTAATTCAAATAAACAGTGGAATTAATATATATATATATATATATTCTGATATACGATATATTGTGATTAATTCAGCCGTTCGTTCGAGTTAAAAAACAATTTTTCTTTCTCCCCGAATAATCCGACGTTTCACGCTACGCGCGTATTATACATCGTGTAACACGATCGCCCCGTAAATTAATGGAGCACTCCGACAAATTCCGAACGAATCGAACGTTACGGGAAACCCGCGCGGTCGCGTCGATTTTTTCCGCGGGCGCGCGATGCTTCCGGCGGGATCCACTCAATTATTCCTCGCGATCGCCGATCAGTTTCGATTAACTCGGCGCACGACGAAACATCAATACACGGGGCTATTATCAATCACCGAGTGTATCGTTCGCGGCGATACGCAAACGTCACGCCGCGGACCATTCGCTTATTGCCCGGCGCGCCGTTGTATTTGGACCGAAAGTTTCGCCCTGTCGGCGGGATCCCGCGTTTCGGCCTCTTGAATCGTCGGATCGATCGGACTTCGCGATACGGGCTTCCGTACGACCCAATTCGGCGGAACTGTTCGAACGTGTCGCGATAAAAACGGAGGAGCCTCGCGCGAAATATATTCCCCCGGAGAGGGAAGAAATTGTATATCTCTCGTCTCGAATTCCAGGTGATCGTGACATGCGTGCCGTTCACGTCGACCGTCTACACGATCGAGTCGTGGCCGTGGGGCCTGGCAGTTTGCAAATTATCGGAGTTCGTCAAGGATATTTCGATCGGCGTCTCAGTTTTCACTCTGACCGCGTTATCGGCCGAGAGGTAAGTTGTCAAACCCGGTTACAACTGTGGAAATTGTTGTTTCGCCAGGGCCGGGGGGGCGGCTCGCCGGCTATCGTGAACTTTGACGAACTTCCACCCTCATTAATGGACCAATCGGCCGGTCGGCCAGCCGTCTAACCAGTAATCCAGACCAAACTTCGCCGCGATAAGTCTCAATTAAACTTTCACCGGGCGCCGGTTTATTCGATAACACTACCCGTTCAATCCGTCCGATCTGTTTCCACGTGGAAATATTACCTTTTCTTTCTCATACACGACATACATAGAAATTAAATTGTAAACCTGGCAGACGGATTGTCTTGCGAAGCTGAATTCCACGGAAAATTCAATTCGAAAACGTGTCGAGTATGACGCGCATGATCATTTTCCGAGACAATGGATCTGCAAACTGTTGCTGCTGACATTTCCGCTATTGAATAGTGTCATATCTTTCATACAAGTACGATGAGAATTTTCAATTTTTTTTATCAATATCCGATAGATATCGATACCGTTTGTATCTGTATATATTATTTTCTTTATTATAGTCTGACCAATTGGTCGGTAGTGAGGAATATAACAGATTCTGTAGTAAATCGTTGGTACCGCTTTGAAACATTAATTTCTTTTCCGGCCGCGTATTTTATTCAGTAAGGGAAGATTGAAAGTTTCAAAGGAACCGTGAGCGTCAAACAATTTGTTCGTTGCCCGAGGCCACGATACGCAAGGGAATCATTTATTCACGTTTCCCCGCAGATACTGCGCAATCGTAAACCCCATTCGCCGTCACATCGCTGGACTGAGCGCGAAGCCATTAACAATACTAACAGCGAGCCTGATTTGGGTACTGGCGATTGTTCTCGCGATCCCATCTGCCCTGTTCTCTCACGTGCCGACCATTCCGTTACAGGGTAACCACAGTATCCTGATTTGCTACCCCTTCCCCGATGAATTCGGTGAGTACGAAAGGCTCTGCTCGTCCGGCGAAGTTTTCGATTCAGTTCGTTACCTTGTAACCGAATACTCTTTGTTCCCCGGGGGCTGTTGCCTCTCCTACGTACGCGTCGGAACGATATTTGCCGCCGTGGTGACGCCATTACGCAATTAAAGACAACCGGGTTTCACAGAGTTTTATCGACGTCGTTGAGAATTTTCTCAAAAACTCCAGAAATTATCGAACTTCCGTAGGAAGTTCCTATTAACCCTTTGCACTCGGAAGTTTTCCAATAGAAATATTTCAACATTCTCCGATGAGATGTGAAACTGGCCAGAAGAGATACCGTACATCGAGGAACAAGGCTGTTTCATTTGAATATTTCTCAAATTGATACATTGTACGAGGTATAATATTAAATATCAAATGTTAGAGTTTTACTGTATGAAATCAAGTGGAGAGTCACCTCTCGAGTGCAAAGGGTTAACAATTGATTCGGATTGATTCGATCATTTAATGTGTTAATGTCTGTGATATTTAAATTGTAAAATTTGTATGGAATTATGAGTCTTAATATAGAATTAAAACGTAATTATATATTATTATTTTGTAGAAGCTTGATACAAGTTGAAATTTCTCGTTAATTTTTGAACGAATAACTGATTGAGTTATTTATTAATTACTGAGTATTCGAATCGATATTTGTGATACTTCAATTGGAGAATTGTATGGCATGGAATTACAGGTGATAACTACAAAAAGGGGATGGTGATGTTCAAGTTCCTCGCCTACTACGCGATCCCACTCTGCGTGATAGCCGGATTTTACTTAGCAATGGCGCGACACCTGGAACTCTCCACGAGAAACATGCCCGGCGAGCTGTCCACCGGCGGCCATCGCATGGAACAAATTAGAGCACGAAAAAAGGTACGTAGACGAAATTGATGTCGTAAAATGAAACTTCACGTTCCACAGATAGACACATAAATCACTTTTAATTGAACTGCGAGGAAATCGATAACCTCTGGGGTAGATTTAACTCTCACCGGTAAGCTCATTGAAATTTCATAGAACCTTTTAACTAGATGACACAACAATCAATTTACAATTTATTATTAAACCGAGAGTATTTAGAATTCCATGAAGCTTGAAATTTCTCTTTTAAAACTATAAATCCTACAAATCATCGATCACAAGTTACATTGTATTAATATTATATATTTCTAAATTGAATAAACTACCACCGAATCGACACGAATGCTCTAATTTGAATAAAACTTGAGATAACCGAAGCATCGCGGAAACCGATTTACCAATTAGAGGTGCGAATGGTTCACCGACTAACAGTGTAGCGAGCGGCATTCGAGTCCTCTGGAAGGTGCTCCATAGTGTTCTAGAGGTTTCTAGGAGTCATTTAATTCTAGAACAATGGGTCGACAATCGCCGGGCTTCAGAACGATTGCGGTGCAACCGCTCCACGTATGAAACAGATAATTACGGGCAGTTTAGCGCGGGTCCGAAGTCGCCTGTGCAATTGCCTCGAATTATCCTGCCGGTTACGCAATCTCCACACGATTAGTAATAGGTCGGAAAATAACATTAGCATGACACTTGGCCGACGGTGACGGCAAAGTAACGGTGATAGTAAGTGTCCCCGATAACTTACTTCGAGAACAATGTAATTTCCAGCACGGAGCTAATTATAAATCGCCCGTGCGCCACCGGGAAGCAATATCGTGTCCCCGAGAACCCATTACACTCTTCGTATTGTGTCTGAATGAAAAGCGGCGTCCAATCACTTCGCATTACACCGATACACCCGCGCAAGAACCTTGCGCCGCTTTCCGTAGCTCGAGAATAGTTATTGGCTAACCCTCGCGAGCAAAAAGTTTGCGCGCCGTGAACCAAATTGCGAATTCATTGCTTTCTGCATCATCAACCCGTTCCAGTATGATCCACTTTACGACTGAGTTCGAAGAAATAATTGTACCGTCGATAATTCCCAAGAAGTTTGAAGATATGATTCGTTCATTGTAAGTAGATAGTAACTTTGAAGGTGAAATATTGAGAACAATGAAATAGAATGTTGATTCTTGTTGAATTAACTTGGAAATCTTTTATTGTGGAACCTAGAAGAAATGAATGTACAAATTATAAGTAAGAAATGACTTTACCATCGATAATTCGCAAGAAATTCGAAGATACGATTCCTTCTTTGTAAATAGACAGTAACTTTGAAGGTGAAATATTGAGAACAATGAAATAGAATGTTGATTTTCGTTCAATTAACTTGGAAATCTGTTATTGTGGAGCCTAGGAGAAATGGATGTACGAATTGTAAGTAAGAAAATAGCTCGGTGAAATGCAGTAAAAAGAATTTGAAAGAGGTTCCGTTCACCTGAGACATAATTTCCAAGAAAGATTGAATACACTTTCGGCGATAGCCGTTTCAATAACTCCGCTGTAGATTTCATGTCGTTACAGCAGGTGCGGCGTGACGTTGAAAAATCTGAAATAGAAATCATACGGAGACGGTTTGAGGACTTTTTCAGTTTACATTTCATTCAAGAGCCTCGGAGATTCTACATTTCCATGAATAGCGGTGTAGTAATGGCAAACGCAAGCTCGCCAGATAAATTTTTTAAATTCATACTCCGGTAAAGTGGGTTGCGACCGAGTAAATATTATTTTGTACTTCTGATACACTTTCGCGTTGAAAGTCACTCCTCCCTCGCCTGTGTTGCCACAGTCGCATCGTGTATAAATAATTTATTTCTCACAGTAATTATTGATTAGGCCTTCGGGCGTGAAACGAGTGTTTTCAGAAAAACTGTTCCCACGTGCTGGCACCCTCTGGTCGATTCCTCCAAGGGTCGAAAGGCGAGTTAATGCTCCCTTCGGGCCTTTGACGGACCGCCAACCGCAACGTTGGTATAATGTTTCCAAAGGGGTCAGCAAGCTAACACCTAAAAGCCTGGACATTAACGACTGCACCGCAGTGTACGAAATCCTTATGCCTGTAACTCACTTCTTATCACGTTTTGCAGCACGATCCTTCGTTAATCCTTAACCCCTTGCTGTACAATGATGAGTGACACTCGTGATGAAGATTTCTAGACTAATTTAACAACACTCGATGTTGTTCATTACCCACGGATCAAGGCAAACAACTATTTTGCTGTTATCATTGTATTATCAAATAAAATTTCCACTTGCAGAATGGACAATTTTGTTGCATTTCTTCCAAATTGTCGATAAAATGGTACATCAGCTTAGTGGCGAAAGTAAGTACGCCAAGGGGTTAATTTGTATTATACTAAAAATTAAGAGGATCAAGACATTTTTCATATCTAAATGTTCAAGTGAAAAAAAATATATAAGAAAAATTCCACATAATAGTTTGCCAGACAAATGGTAAAGATCCCAAAGAGAATTCAACAAGAATAAACCTTATCCATTCGAATTCAAATGAAAAACTATTTGTCATCGATAATCATATTTTAGAATAAAGATAGAAAACGCCTAGAATTCTTCCGTTCGTCAATAACTTATCTACAAATCGAGCCAAATTGTTATCGAATCATTTCAATTCTCTCGAAATTTCGCAAACGCTGATTCAAATAGTAAAGGCGTTGCGCAACAGGACGATCGACATAAAATAGAGTTTTAGCTTGCAGTATCCACGAGCAGACGGCAATAATCGAAATTTAAAAAGGACTGAGCAGGTCAGAGCAGATAAGAGCCGAGCCATTCGAGGAAACGAACGCGAGAATTAGACGCGGATAGCATTTGAGCGGCCCGAGGCGTGACTCGCGTTTATCGCGATACGATTTGTCATTTGGCGCGTTCACGGTTCGATTATATTCCCGCTGATTGAAATCTCTCGCGCTTTCCCGCGGCAGCCGTTATCGAAATAAGCGGATTAGAGGCGAGAAACGAGTAACGCAAGAAACGGCCGAGGGATGTTTCGCCGTATCATCGTCACGCTCCGCTGGCGTTCCGTATCCGATAATTCGACGCCGAGCATCCGGAAAGCTGCTTTTAAAGTTCACAATAAGGGGGACACATCGGGGATGATGTCACCAGATCGAGGACAGGCAATATTGCGCGCGGTATCGGCGAAAATTGAATTGCTAGGCTCTGACGGTGACTGTGCCATTGTTTACGGGTGAACGACGCGAAAGACCGTCGGAGCGACTTGTGTGGAAGACACTTGGAGTTAATGAGATAAACACTTCAACGATTTGTGCTTTACAATTGTGTCTTTCATCGATTCAGTCATTAGTCAAAAATGTATTACGGAGGAAACAACCCTTTGGCTACTGTTGCCTAAAGGTGCTTCAACCCTTTGCACTCGAGAGTTTTTCACTGGAAACATTCCACATTTTCCGACAAGATATAGACGACGTTCGAAACTAATTTAACAATTCACGGATAAATTAAGCGACAAAGATATTTTATTTAAATATTCCCTTTCGCAATAAAGTTTAATTTAAAATACTAATATTCAACTTCATAATTTGTATCAAATCGAGTGGTGGCTGAGAGTCATCTCTCGAGTGCAAAGGGTTAATTTGATTTTAACGTACTGTCGGCTGTGGAATGTTATTGACAATAATTGCAGCGAAGCTCGCTTAGATCTGACGTACTCTAACTCAACGATTATCTTCCGCTAGTATATTATATAAACGTGACTATTTTAGGCTGGTTTCCTTTCTTTAGGCACTTCTATAATACGTCGAAAAATTCTGTCGCTGACGGGTTAAAAGTTATCGTAAACAATTGATTACGTTGAAAGCTATTTTCACGTTTAACGTCTGCTTTAGTCGTATTAGATGATTCATTTGTGTCTAATTCCGTGTATCATTCATATCTATTTATGTAATAACAGCTGATAATGGTAACCGCGTGCTCAGACGATATTATCCCGGAATAGATTAAGTTGGATTTATATTTCGAGTATTATCTCTGATTAAATGTGAGTAAGCAGGTCGCCCGTTCAATTCATAGATGGACACGATTATCGAACGTAATATCGCTCGTTTGCTCTAGATATCGTGGATGATAGTGGTCACTTAACTATGATCGGCAGGTCGGCAAGATGGTGATCTCCTTTGTGATAATCTTCGTCATCTGCTTCTTGCCGTATCACACGTTCATGCTGTGGTTCCACTTCTGCCCGTCGTCCGATCAGGACTTCGACGACTTCTGGCACGCGTTCAGGATCATCGGCTTCTGTCTCAGCTTCGTCAACAGCTGCGTGAACCCGATAGCTCTTTACTTCGTCAGCGGGACCTTCCGCAAAAGGCTAGTAGCAGAGTAAACGGAACGGGGCTGGTATTGTTTAACGATCAATCATTGCGACCCCTTCGGGGAACTCTTCTGGTCGTTCAGACGGAGAGGCGAATCATTTCGAAAAGTCAAATAGTAAGAGATTCAACTAGAGTGAATCTCCGCGTAGAATCAAATTTCTTTTATTTAACATGATTTGCAAAAGACTGAAGTCAATCTGAAGTTTACCGTCATAGATAATTTCTATCAAAGTCGAGAGAAATTGTAATTTTTCAGACACTGGAATTAGTGAAATCAATTTATTATCTTTTGTTTGAAAATTGTCAAAATCATGAAGGTATCTCTATGTAAAATTATTGAACAGGTTTTCGTAGTTTCGTCAGAACACGATTTAAGTAAAAATCGAGAGAAATGGTAATTTGTGAGACACTGGGACGATTGAATTAGTGAAATCAATTTTATTATTTTTTGTTTGAAAATTGTGAAAATCATGAAGGTATCTCTATGCAAAATTATTGAACAGGTTTTCGTAGTTTCGTCAGAACGCGATTTAAGTAAGAGAAAATGTGATTTTTTTATGCATTGGATTAATAATTGAACCGTAAAATAATTTGTATCGCAGGTTCAATGAGTACCTGTGCTGTCGAATGTCCACGAGGACCTTAAGCGTGTGTCGAACGGAGACGGGAAGCTTAGAAAGGAATGGCAATCGTCTAACACAGAGGAGGCGCCTGGGCGGCCACGGTAGCCATTACGAGACTAGTTTCGGCTCAACGATTCGAAGACAGACGCAGGAATTGAATTCGACCGCCCTTTACGAGCTCGCTACCGAAGATACAGCTGCACCCACCTGCGACTTAGATTATAAGTAATTTGTAAGGATGATCGATCAATGGCAGCGCCGGTGACATCATCGGCGGCCATCGATGAACGAGGACCACTGGCAAATGGAACACCGATGGACGAATGCCTACATGATTACAGGAATATATTGTAAATTATGTATAAATTATAGAACAACATCGATATTCTCTTATTATTTACACAGTAGAATAATAGATTTTACGATTAATTACTCAACCAACGGAAGTTCCATTGTACAGCTTTGACTTGCGAATCTGTTGCAGAATTTTCAATATTCATTGCGCGCATTGTTCGTTTCCGATGTTTTATATCGTAATGAATTTAATTGAAGCGTGAGTGAGAGGACAGAGTGAAAGTTGCAGTTGAATAATCGCGGTATAGTATTCAAAGTCTCGGCGATTGGGGCTGCGGAACTCGCAAAAACATGAATTATTCTCTGATTTGCTGGAAGGAAGCGTTGTATATTCGAGAGCCTTTCTTCCAATTGAAAACTAAGATCAATTAAAAGATTTCTAAAAGACACGTTAAGAAAGAAGAAATATTTTCGATTCAGAATAACATTGAGAAACCATAATGAAAATTCAATTTCTGGATTCCGTAGAGAATAAACTACCCCGAACGCTCGTGACCTAGGTGTAACACTAGAACTACCGTACCAGTCAAATTGACTGGTTTCGATTTGTTTGTTTAGCAATTATTGATACTTTCAAAGCATTGAATATCCGAAATGATTTTGAAACTAAATAGTTCCACTTGAGTGCTATAATGAATGTCTGAAGAAACTGAAAATAATCTTTTGTTACAAGTTTTTTAGGAATAGCATATTAACCCTCTGTAGGCCTATGTGACTTTGAAGTCACATATCAGTATATCGGCGTCTTTTTTATTTATTTCATTCTGCACTCAAAGTGGTGAATAAAATTAAGTAACCAGTTAACTTAAACTTTCATATGCTCAGGCGTGAAAGTTTACCGTCATTGTAACTTGAAAGTTACAAAATATATTTTTTTGATGAAATTATTGAAACTATTGAATACATTGTTAATTCCTATTCATATGTGGATACTTATTAATTTTGTACTGCATAGATTATAATCATGAACAAACATTCGGCCCATAGAGGGTTAATCGTATTAACCCCTTGTCCTACAACGAGTGAGACTCGTGGTGAAGATTTTCAACATGATTCAACAAATATTTATTACTCAGTTCATTCGAATTGAAAGTAAATATTATTCCTCTGTAATCAACTATTATACTTAAAAGGAGATATAGGCATAACATATGCTTAGAATTTTTCTCATTTTCCAGTAAATTATTAATGACAAAGTAACCGTATCCATCAGAGTTGAGAAAGAAATCATAGGCCAATGCTCGGCAGTTCTAGTGTTAAAGTGTTGATTGTATTCGAGGGCCGAAGTCCTTGCCCCGATCGCCAGTAATCGAGGATGCCCGTTTGACGTGCGGCGCCTACCCTTCGCCCGGTAACAGGATTTAGTATCGCATGTCCATTGGCCGTCGCGTTTCCGTGCGTTATAGACGTCCAGATAACGGGTGGACGTCTTCCCGACGCCCCTATTATAGGTATAATTAGGCCACGCAGCGCGGAAGCGTTCGCCGCCGAATCGATACGCGGTAGGAATATCGAATTGACGAGCGGAATTTATTCCGCGGTTACTTATTCGCCCGGCTCGACTTCGATCGTGACCTCTCCATGAAACGCGGAGCCTCGAGGAATAATCTTCGACGCTTCGCATCCTGCCCCTGTCGCACTGAGTACGCTTCGAGGCACTGTATTATAATAATCGAAGAACGCTGCATCGAATAACAAAATTCCGCGGGAAGTAGAAAGTCAGTTTTTCACGGGGAAAACCGCGCCCGTCTGACACAAAAATCGAATAAATGAATATCAATTGTATACAACGGATTAATGTTAACCGTCGAGTTCCGTTTACCACGGTCGAACGTTGTCGCTGACGTGTCCACCGATATTCATGTCGTCTGCACAATTTGAAAGTCGGGAACCTGCGGTTAGATGATGAATTTCGGAGTCGGACGATTCATTACTGTACTTTTTACCGCATCGATAACTTTTCGGCGTGAGTTACGGAATATTAGGGGATGAACAACGGAGGATCTATTCTTATCCGTTCGACGGGATATTGAAGGATATAGCGAATTAAGAATAAAGAGAATTCAACGAAATCGTTTATTTTAATCTCCCTCAACCTCCTAGCGATCAAGAAATTCACAAAATTAACATTATCCTCGAACTGAAATTATTGAAACATGAAACAGTGATTAGAGAAGTAAATTGACTTACCTTTCGTTAAAGAAATATAAAACATTGCAACTGCTTTAAACTTTCGATATACTCAGATCGTTAGACATTAAAGATTCAAACGAGTTATGAATCGTTAATATTTCGTTGCTCTGATATTTTAACTCTTAGCACTCAGGTTGTTCTGTAATCTATCAGCAACTGCAACTAATTTTCATAGTATTCCCAGCGAAAATGAGAAATGCTATAACATTTCTTCTTTTATTTTCCTAGTACAAAATTCGGATGTGTGGAAGATCTAATAACTAGGGTAGTTTCTTTAAGATTCATTAAAATGTTTAATATTACAACTGGTGCAATATTGGAGCCTACAGAGTTCAAAGGGTTAAAACTGACCTTCACTAGCCTTATTCCTGTTCACAAGATAATCGTAGCGTTCGATCGTTTACAGCGATTTTTCGGGCTGCCCGTTTTCGTTCCCCTAGTTTCACGCAGCGGCAACAATCCGCAGCTAGTAACGTATTCCGGCGGAGTTTCGGGGGCGAAGGGGCGCGTGCCGGGCGCATTTATCGGGCGCAGGGCACGCGTCGCGCAAACAGGGGTTCCGAGGACAATGTTCCCTTGCAGATGCACGTCGGGCGAACGCGAGGGGCACAGTTCCTGGGGTTCCCGAGGGGCTGGAGGGGAGAGAAGCCATGGCAAACCGTCGTCACCCTCGCACCAGTCTCCCGTAGCTAGGGTCGCCACGATTTGGCTAGTCGATGCCGATCGACGTTAGTCAACGGTCGTTTCCCTGGGCTGCCTGGCTGGGAACAGGAAAAGAATCTCCGGAGAAAACGAGGACAAAAGGGTCTGTTAACGGGCGGTAGCTGAGTGCTTCTGTTTCGGGAGCGCGACGGGAAGAAGCAGCGAAGAGGGTGCTCGAAAGTGGGACTCTATTTTTGAACGGTGTTCCAGGCAACCTACGGGAACCTCTGTGATTAAAGTTATTCGTGAAATACCGTGGATTCTTCGGCGGTCGGCACTGCACTTCGCAGGTGGAAGTTTCGATTAATTTTTAAGCGAGATGAAGAGATACTCTTCGGTAAGAGTCGGCTTCCTCCGGAGTTGTTTAGCCCCTCGACGTTAGCGATCGCGGAAGCGGAAGGCAATTCTGCTGCCCGATGGAATGCAAACAGAGCGGTGTTGACGTTTTAAAATATTCAAGCGCGGAGGAGACTGTGTTCAAATATAATGAATGAATCAGTTTATTGCACGTATCGTCGATAATTCATGATGAAGTTATAAGCTTGATTTTCATGGATGTTGAATATATGATTGAAAGTTCCTGTTTCTTTATGAATGAAATAATTGATATGTGTTTTCAAGTTTCGTAGAAAAACGTCGAGGGGTTAATTGTTTATCATATCGTACTTCCATTTTTAAAAAATTTCATCTGATTGCCGAACAGGCGCCGTGTCTGGCAGACGAAAACAGCGAAACGAAGAAGTTGAAGACGATCGAGGTAAATAAAATTTTAGTACGCGCAGCGGTTCCGCTAACGCTGATTTCGGTTGCACGCGCGGTGGCGTTTGATTACGCGTTTAACAGCGTGCACTCGCGCGCCGGTGTTTGTACAGGAGCCGAGCGCGAGGGAGTATCTGCAATTGGCGTTGGCCAGAGTGCTCGAGCTGCAACGGAAGATCAAAGAAGGAACGTACACGACGGACAACACCAGCGACCTCGGTAATCAGAATTTATATTGTAAACTTGCCCAACCGCGCTCTGCCTTCCCACGCGAGCCAATAACCATACAACGACTCCAGCACGAAAGTTGCACGATTTTTGTTCCATCGGAAGTTCCCGTTGCCGCGGTCGCTCTACCTCTTTCCGATAAAACCGCTTCGAAACTCGCTGACTTTATTGAAACGCGCTTCCGGAGCACAAGAAAATCTTCCGCGTTCTTGAACATTGTTCGCTTCGATATCGAATTCTCTTAATTGCGATTCGACCCAGTCCGAGGGACTTTTCAGTGGAATCATTAGCATTTCCATTAACATTGAATATTAATTATCACTAGATTCTTCTCCTCGTCGTTTCCTATCTCTCATTGATTCAAGTCTTACCTTTTGAATTCAGACGAATTACTATCTAAAGATTGTCAAATTGTGCGACATAGATCGAGCACAGAATTTTTCTCCAGTGAATCATCAAAAGTCATTCCGGTCATCGTACTAGTGGAAGTCACAGTGCGACTAATCTACGAAATAAAGGCACCATTGTTGTTATACTATGCTTTATTATACGGTTTCACTCGTGTTTAGTACCACAAAATTCAATTCCCTAGGTGAATCGAGCAGCGAGGAAGACCTAACGAAGGAGGTTCTAAGAAAGGTCTTTCAGAATTTGCCGGGCACTCCGAACTCGGTGGATCGTATCATAAACAGGTCGTCGAGGAATCCTCAGCTGGACGCGATTCACGGTAAAAGGATCCAGCTGATGGGCTACGATACCTGTCGCAGAGCCGCCGTCGAATTCATGAAGAACGCGGTCCGCGAGACGAGGAGGGACGCGTCCCCGGCGATGATCCAGCCGAATCATTCCGACTTTCATTTAGCCACTTACTCGAGGAACGAACCGAGGCTCGCCCAATGCAGAACCGGTTTGCTGAGGAGCTCTCGCAGGAGGGACGCAGGATCCTCCTACGACCGGGAGATCCGGGACAGAATGCTGAAGAGCTTGGACCTCCATTTAGCTACGAAACAAAGAGATTACACTACGAGGCTGATGAGATCGGAGCTGTAGCTCTGGTGTCTTATAAATGGAGGGTGCCCGAGTTAATCCCGTTAAGAGAGACTCACAGGGTTTCTAATTAATTGTACCACTCTAGTCAGATCACACGAGAGCTGTACCTGTTTTATAGCTACTCTAGTCATGCACACGAGTCACTGGGTATTAATGAAAACGATGCCTATAAATTATTTTTCTAAGATCTATAATTAAGACAGACCTATGGTAAATATCTATAAATTACTATTTATAAATTTTATATGTATACATATACGTATGTGGATTATTGGAGGCCGGCTCGAATCGAATTCAATTATTCTGTACTGAACGGTTTTATAGTTTGTGTACGGCGGATTTATTCTACATTGACGGAGTTTTGTAACTGATACTGCGATGAGAGAGTGATGGATTGAAATTAAATTGATTCTGAGGTAAATCGTGTGACAGTCTTTCCCGATCCTGTGTGGTGCGCCTTTCGAACTAGCTTCTCGCATCTTGCGTGAGGACTGGACGATCGTGCAACGAGCCCGGTGAGCTTTTGTAAAAAACGTTTATTCATAATGTACAATTAAAAAAGAAAACAAAGACAGTTTGAAAGTGTCTACGATACGGCTTAAACGACTAAAACGCTCCGCAAACCTCCGTCTCGATTCTCGAGTGGTATAAAAACTATCAGAAGATCCGCCAATGGTTCGACACTCGACTAGATGAAAATTTCCCTTTAACATACGATTCCGCGAAAAAACAGGGTTCAAGGTATGTATATATATATACGCTCTAGCTGAGGCACACGTGCGACTTTCTTTATAAAAAAATAAACTTCTCCTCTGTACCGTCCCAACAATTATACTCCGCTTGTTCGCGTGTAGTATTTTTTTTCGATTCGTTTTCATCTTTCTTCTCTCTCCGTTTCATTGTTCTCCTTCCTTCGATCACGAAACTGCGCTCGCGTGTCCTCGATGAAAGAGATTTAGGGTAATTTAAGTTGCCCGAGGACGTGCACGACGCGGCTAACAATGTACGATGCAGATTTGCGCGGTCTACGAGCTAACCGAATCGAAACGCGGCGGGACATCGACAGCGGAACGCGAAGGTTCCGTTGATCCCGGATTAAAATACTTTCTGCCCTAGACAAAAACATTTACCACGAAAGGGCAGCTTCCCGTTTCCGACAGTCGACACAATTTATCGTCCGATCGTTTAACTCTGATTCGATATTCACGCCGATCCCGTCGATTCGATTCAACAGCCAGTCCTTTCGTCGCTACGCTAGAAACCTACGTTGCTTCGTTCTTGTCCACACTCCTCCATTTTGACGCCGTCGAGAATTCTAAACCCTAATTATCACTTTTCTCGTCTGATTTCTGTATCCTCGAATATAGGTCGTTAACTTCAGGAACAAAGTCGAAGAGCTAGATTAAAATTTCGTCACTAGGCCTACAACGGGGCTGATCAGAGGTCACGTGTCCTTCGTTGCTCCGATGTTCACCGATCGAGACTACGGATCTTTGTGCGAATTCTATGGCCTACGCTGATCGGAAGAAGAAGATCCCCCTCGGCGCGGTCTCCTCGTGTCAAAAATGGGCCAGAAGTGTAACTAATACCTTAATTAAACGCGCTTACATCGTAAGGTTTCTGTGTATACTCTATGAATCCGCAGTCTAACAGTAACTCCGGTTACAGTTGAAAGCCGGCGAAAGTGGATCCAATACTCGTCTGTCCCTACGGATACCTGGTACACGGCTAATAAACATCGATTCACCAGTCTATCGTCTAAATATTAAAACTAAAACGCTTACATAACATATATATAGAGGGCTCGAGCAGCAGGATAGAGTATAGCTGCCAATGAAACACAATGATCGATGAATAAAAAGAGCCTAGTCATTTCACGAGCCGAACGAACGAGCGAGCGAGCGAGAAACTCGTTAACACATCAATCGGAACACCATCAGTCCCATCAGATGTGAATACATCTGAAAACCTGTTCTCCGTCTAATCTGCAAACTTGTTCCGAGCATTCCTCGTTCCCCTCGCGATTCGTCCGCCCGCGCTCTTAGAAGTTACTTAAAAGTCTACATGCTAAGCAGAAAGAAAAAGAAATATAGTCAACTCCTCGCCGTGAGACACGGTCGCTAACGCCATTGACGTCCCCAATCCTCGGATCCTTGCTCAACGAAGTCCCGGAAAGTTCAAGCCCAACAGAGATCGAATTCTGGACGTGATCGTGGATCGCCGAGCGGACGTTCCTCAGTGTTGCTGCACGAGGGTCGGCCCGCTGCCTGGGTTCCTCCATGGGTCCGGTATGTCGAAGTGCGCCGGGACCGTGATCAATGCGTCGTCGGCGGTCCGATCCGCGCTGCAGTTCTTCGGTTTCACGCGGGTCGTGTTCACGCACTCGATCGGAAGCTTGAAGAACTCCAGCTTGTAATTGAAGCCCTGGCTGGTCGCGCGGATGATCGTGTGCAGCGGCACCTCCATGTACGGAAGCTCTTCCGGCTTTTTGTCCATGAAGAAGCCGATCACGCAGCGCAACACCGCCTGGTGCGAGACGACCAAGATGTTGTTGGACCTCTGCAACTCGGCGATCACCGGGTCCACGCGCTGCATCGCGTCGATGTAACTCTCGCCCCATGGGTAGCGGTAACGGAGCTTGTCTTGGTCGCGCCATGCGAACTCCTGGAAACATTGTGCTTATTTTAGTGCCAGTATTTGGAAGAAAGCTGAAGTACTTAAAGGAATCTGTGATTGTTCCATTTTGCTTTCTTGTTTTCTTAATCCTACAATATTAATCTTTTCTCTGTGGATTGCTTTATCGAACAGTCTATCAGCATTGTAGTGTCATTATATTCATCTCCAAAACCTAAACTGTGTTAGAAACAAAAGAATTTTGGAACAGTAGTTTGATTCAATTTCCTAGAGACTGTTCATTAATAAGCGTAGAATCCCAGGAAAGAAGATTAACAACCCCTCCGGTAGCTAAGAATCATTCATTAATCTTTTCTCTGTAGATTGTTTTATCGAACAGTCCATCAGCATTATAGTGAAGTGTCATTATATTCATCTCTAAAACCTAAACTGTGTTAGAAATAAAAGAATTTTGGAACAGTAGTTTGATTTAAGTTTCTAGAGACTGTTCATTAATAAGCGTAGAATCCCAGGAGAGAAGATCAACAACCCGGTAGCTAAGAATCATTCATCATCGCATCTTCAAGTACCTGCGGATAATGTTCCTGCATCTCCTCGTAGGAGAGGCCTTCACAGACTCCAGCGTGGAGTTCATTAAGCGCGTCAACGTGTTCCTGGGGCGCTTCGACGCCTCTGGCAGTAGCGATGGTCCTCCGAAGGCGACTGGTCAGCACGCGGAGATCAGGGATGCGCATCGCGTTGAACTTGGTAGCCAACGCTTGCGCGTATCTCTCGCCGCGAGCGCTAAGAGCCGTGTCCCCGCCGACTTTTCCGAGGACGTTGTACTCGCTTTCACCGTGCTGTAACGCAACAGAAAAGAGAACCTTTAATTTTCCATCCACCATCGTTATCTGCTCGTGACGCGGTTGGCCGTGCGACGCGAGCGAATTACTGCGCAAATTCCAGCGATCATCGGATAAAATACAAGAGCTCTCGAGTGTCTCTCGAAATAAAACGAAACTCGAATTCTAATCCGTTATCGGCAGGCCGGGAATATCGCGATCGATCAGATGTTTAAAAGATTACCAACCCGAGAGAAGTAAAGAGTGTGAGGCGTGAGCATCACACTCCCCAGATAGCCCAGAATGCTGGCCTCCACGTGTCCGGACACTTTGTACGTCTGGATATCCATGTTGGCCGTGTCCACGCGTATCCTGGGCACTTCCTCGTTCATCGGCTCGTACGAGCGAACGTAGTGCGCCACCTTCAGCTGTAAATCCTTCTCGGCCAGCGCCGGGTCCATGCCGACGTAGTCGGTGCTCCAGCGCAGTATCTCCTCGTAATTCCGCTGGAGCACGACAGGGTCTTCGCAGACGCACTCGATGAAAAGGACGCGATAACCGAGCTGCCCGGAAAAATAGTCGAAGACCTCGGCGCGCTGCGCTCGTGTCACCAGCGTGGCGTCCAGGATCTTCAAACAGGAAAACTCTTAAGACTA